ATACCCTTTTATTTTTATATTAAGTAATTTTATGCTTTTATTTTTATAGCAAGCCAATTCTAGGTCTTTTCTTGTCTAAAATGATCTGTTACATATGAAAACTCTTGATCGAGTGGGTCCTTCTGTTATGAATGTAGACCTTTTTATTCATCTCAAACTAACATGTCATTTATAAAAACTTTTTCATTAAAATATAAAACTGACTGTTATCCTTGAGGTTTCTGACAGAAAACTGAGATTTTACACTCATTTTGGAAAGTTGACTTTCTAACTCTGCTGTGATTTCTCATCACTCAGACAGCTTTTGATATGTATTTTGAAGTATAATAGAACCTGAGCATTTAAAAGAGGGGTTTACTCTATAGGGGGAATTTGTTGAAGTCTGCCCTTAAAAATGTTTTTTGATCTCTCTATTCAGTGGGACCATCTTGGTGATTCCTTTCTGTAGATCCTATGCAGCCTTGCTGATTGCTTCCTCACCTTTTATTTTGTTACTCCTTCACCATAAGCAGCTAATGGGCATTAAGGCTACAGCTGCCCTATTCTGTTCAGGGTATTCCAGGTGTGCTGCACATCTGGTTGATCTATCTAGGAGAAGCAGCTCAAAATTCAGACAGATTGTCTCATCAGAACATTTTACTGCTCTTAACACAAAAGGGCTTTGGCATGGCCAGAAAAGAAAGTTCACCCTCTGTGACTTTTAATGCAGTCTAGACTCGCAGCTTAGTACCTTCTCCTTGCACTCTGCAGAAAGAGGGACATGGGGAATGTTTGATAGACTTACTTAGTGAAACAGAGAGGTAAAATAACAAGACAAATGTGGCACATCTTCATTAAGTGATCTGATACAGTCCCACTAGAGCATTTTACTGCTAGTCCTAGTCTCCTGAGTTGTGCACTTTACATTACAAGATTGTCGGTGCTGATGATGACTAAATAACAAAGCGCTCCCTTGGCAGCAGTAATAAGAAATATTATGTCTCTTTTTCCAAGTGTTGTTATCATAAGAAAATGTTATTTCCTATCAACTTTGATAGATTTTTTTTAAGTTCTCATGAAAATTTTTCACACAACTGGACATAGCTTTTACTAAAAACAGACCCCCAGTATTTAATCTGCCAGAACTGAAACCCTCCTCTTATTTGCAAGAATGGTTTGGGTTTTCATTCTATTTTTGTGTTAAACATTAAAAAATGCTATCAAACAACAATTTATTATGACATTCCCAAACATCGTTGTCTTAGTGATCACAAGTATTGGAGGTGCCAGACTCTGTCAACATGTGCTTGTTGGGAAAGTCCTATCAAGCACACCCCATTTCTTCAGCCTCCAGCTCCTCTGCTCTACTAAGCTGATATCTGTCTTCTCATCAGAATGTTTTTGGTGAAACATTTCAAAGTACTCACATGCACATAACTTCAAGTGAAACTGTCTGTCACAGTGTCTGCTCCTTTCTGACTGTACCATGTGGCATAGGTTAGTCTGGTGGCCACTTGTGACTATTGATATTTTGGATCTGTGCAAACACAAATAGTACTGACTCTTCCTATCTGTGCACAACCAGTCCGTAATTGTGCACAGGTACCTGTCTCCCTCCCTTTATTCTGATGATTTCTGTGCAGTGAATTACCTGAAACACAGACTGGGTTAGGGACTGCTTTTATTCATTTGCAGAGAGCTAAAAACTCTGTGGCCTTCACCTCTGTCTGGGTTCTCTGTTGGGTGAAATTCTAGACGTAAGAGCAGTAGCACTTACATGCTTTCTCTATGCAGTGCGTATTGCTCATGGTATAAAAAAACCCCAGAACTTAATGTTTCCTCTGCCATTATCATGAATTATTAGGTTTTTAACTTCTATCTGTGCTGTCTGCAAGATGGTTTTATAATTTAGAAGAGAGTAGCAATTTGAGCAGGATAGACATGCCTCCTACATCTTTCTTTTCTTTAAATTTTTTTCCCCCCACTAAAGTATTCTGTGGGCTTTCAGGATGAGACAAATTACTCTGTGTTGGCGACACGAATAAAATAAATGAGATTTAGCTGCACAGGAAAGTCTCACTGCATAGCCCGATGGTGAAAGCACTTGTTAGTGGGGAACGAATGGTGCTATATGTTTGGCGTCCTGCTCTCAGGATTCCTTCAGTAGTTTGCATGCTGTCACTGTGTATAAGATAAAGAGCCCTACAGGCAAGAAATACAAGCAGCTCTCCCAGTCCCGGATAAGTGCCATAAGCAGTAGGCTGTAGACTCATGTTTCTGCTTGTGCTCTTTTGACTCACTAAATACAAATTATTATTTTTTTTGGCCAGTGACATGGCTTCAAGGAGAAGCTCTTCCCCTTGGTATCCTAACGGATAGGTGTAAGAGATGAGGAATGGATACCTCGGTAAGCAGCAGGAGAGGAAATTGAACCTTATTCATCTGTGTTTGTGGTGGGTGCCTTTACCACAATAAACTATAACAAGACTATTTTTTATACGTGTGTGTCTATCTACAGTGCATATACACATTTGTACAATCATCTGTGGGAGGGTACTTATGGCCACTGTGCTATTTTGTGGGAGCCCAGTCCTGCTAGATGTGCTTGGCAGGTATCAAGGAGGTACACATGAAGGCAAATGTTGTGTCTGATCCAGTTTAAGCATGAGCTGAGTACCAAGCCTGTTAAGATGGTGCTGTTGGTCAAGTGCAGCGGCTGTGTTCGTGGATGTTACAGTACTATGTCTTTCAGGCATTTAAGGTGCTGATCTACATGGCTCTGAAAATTGCTCCTAAGGACCAGTTTAAGAAAAGAAAATGTACTGAGTAGCTTCAATCATATATCCATGCTGCAGAATTAATATCTGTGCTGCAGGCTTTTGTCTTTCAGACAGCTCTTGGTGTTTCAAGACTACGTAAAATGTCTAAGGGCAGCCATCTCTTGCACCGAACCATCTGTGTGAAATGAATTTCCTCCATATCCACTCTGGCTAAGACCTTGCTCTCTACACCAGCAATTTCAGTCATGCCTGGGGAAGAAGCCAGGCAGTGGCATACCACTGTGGGTGCTAGCGAGCTGTTAGAATCCTCTCTCAATTGCGTTCATTGTGACCGGGGGCTTCCTAGACAGTTCACCCATGCCCAGGGACCATTTTGAGTAGGTAGGTATGTAGTTTGCACATGGCTTCCCTGTTTCCGAGCCAAGGACACTTTACTGGAGGCAATCCTAAGCCATCTGCCTTCAGTTCTGGGAACATTATAGGACACACTCAATTTATTAGTGCAGGTGAAGGCCTAGGCTACATGAAGATTTCAATGAATGTCAGGGTAGAGGTGTCTGTTAAGAAGATTCTAGTGTGATTTGGCAACTCCATCCTCTGCTTGCTTGGTCATGTTGAGGCTCCAGGAAGAAGACTATCTCTGAAAACTGGTGGTCTATGAATTATTTAGGTGCCTTGCTGACCCTGGCAGATCTCTGCTTGTAGTGCTGGGAATGAAACAGGCTCTGGCTCTGGTCATGGGTGTCATAAATGTCTTCCTATGTGATCCAGGACTCTTGGTATGTTGTTGCTAATACCAGAAGCTGAGTTCTACCTGTGCCAAAGAGTTTCCGAAACTCTCTACCATCTCACACATGGGATTTGGGGCACCCTTGTGCTGTACTGTGTGAGGTATCCTATGGTTTAGGGAAGCTATAGGTAGGGGTATTCCCAAATGTGAGGTCACTTGAATTGTCTTCATTAGAGACTGGTAGAAAAAGCAAGTGATTCAGAGGTGTCACTAGTGAAGTCCCAACTAGGCCATTATTGTGATGCTTGTAAGTCTGCTGCAAGGTAAAGACATTATGGGAATGACATTGGTGTCACTGTTGTGTACCAGTTAGGATGCCCACATACATCCAGGAGGGGGACAACCACACCCTTAGGCACTGAAATTCTGTCTGAGGTCCATGTAAATATGCCATTTTCTGGATTTGGTCATTAACTTATGTAGTTCTTTTCCATATCTGGGAAAGAAAAATTGTTGATCCAGGTGGTCAATAACTTAAAAGAAGAGAGGTCAGAGGGTGAAAAAACAAGGTAGATAGCCAGTGCTACATGAGCCATTGGCTTAATTCACATGGGAGGGGTGTTCCCTCTGAGATTTTCCCTTACCTTCAGCGTAAAAAGGATAAGATAATTTCTGTTAAGATGAGAATATTTTACATGTCCAAGAGGATAACATCATTTTAACATTGTCTGCTGCGTGATAATTTTTCATTTATACATACTGGGCCAGATGTTTAGCTGATAAAAGTCAGTGTAACTTCACAGATTGCAGAGGACCTGCATCAAGTTGATGATTCAACCTTTGTTCATTTAATTGTTTAGATCTATCATATTTATTAACCTCAGCATAGAGAATGTGTTTTTTATGACTGGTATAAGGGATGATTTTTGGACAGAAAAGATGCATTCTGCTCTGAGGGACACCTAGACCCATCTTGTAAGTGAGGAGAATTTGGCCATTATGTGTAAAATGAAATGTTTTCTGTGAAATACCCACATATGATAATACTTTGCTTGGTATTCATAGGGCCATGCTTACTCCATCTGCCTCAGCTATAAATATTTTAAGTGCATATTTCAGTAAATTTTAGGGTTTGTAACAATGTAGTAAAATCAAGTAGATGTGTAATAAATTCTAGCAAGCATAGAAACAGTTTGTTTCTCAGTAGGATTCTGTTTAGCTGCTCAAAAATATCTTGCTATGGATGGAGAAATATTGAAACAACTTTAAACTTTAACAAGTGTGGTGCTAAGAAAGTTGATTTTAGTATCTTTAGAACAATAGACCGGATTGACAAAAATGAGTAGCAAATGTGTTTGCAGAAGAAATTTAATCTAGCTTTTCTGAGGGGTTTTGTTCAACATTCAGAAATGCACAATTACCTAAGAACAACATGCTGATACAAGGATGAAGGTTGATGCTTTTTAGCTTCCTCCATTTCCACACACAACTAAATCCACTCCTGAAATGCCATGAGGACAGTAGGAAGAGAGCCATTAAGCTGCCACCGTGTCCGATTTGCGCTTGCCCAAAGTAACCTAGAAGCTTTTGGCATTGCACAGATAGCTCATTTGGATGCTGGTTTTGAAGCCGCTTACTCTAAGGTCTTCCATCAATTTGTACAGCTTTTCACTCCCTGAGCCTACCTCCATGCCTCAGGTAGTAAGGAGGTCCCAGCATTTTCCTGTATTAGGGAAGTCTAGAGAGCATACCCAATACCACATCTGGGACTCCTCTGAGCCCCCTCTGCCCCTTTTTGGCCAAAATCTCTCTCCTTTAGGAACAGATTGAAGAACTCGCAGTCAAGTCTAGTGGACAAATCTAAGGAAACAAAGACATGGGGAAGGGAGGGAACATGATAATACTTCAGTAACAACGTCAAGGTCCTCATGGCTTTGCTCAGTCTAGGTGAGCTTCTGACAACTTTTATATTCAAATAAATATTGTCAAGCCTTAGAGCTTCCAGCATACAAGAACAAAATAAAACTTGTCTGCATTTGTTTTGTACAGGTATTTTTGTATTATATGAGGGTTTTACAAATATTTTCTTAACTTTTTTTCCAAGTGCTTTTTCATTAGAAGATCTGTATGTTGACTAGTAGCTATCTTCAGATATCAGTGTACTAACAATGATGACATAGGCAACATGCTGGAACTGTAGTTTCAGAATTTTGCCATACTTTTCTCTGATGAAGCTTGGTGCAAATAAAACGTGAAGTGTTTTGTCTCACCCATAATTAAAAAGTGGATGTTCTGTTTATGTGTTTTCTTACAGCTGGCAGCATTAGAGAGACAGATCTTTGACTTCCTTGGTTTCCAATGGGCTCCTATCCTTGGCAATTTCCTACAAATAATAGTTGTCATTTTGGGTTTGTTTGGAACCATCCAGTTTAGGCCTCGATATATAGTTGTGGTAAGTCTCCTTTATATTCTTCTTTTTTTTTTTTTTTCCAATTGGTTTTAAAGCCTGTCATATTACAAAGCAGAATTTTCTTGGTTTCAAAATGCTAGATGTTATTATTGTATAAACTTTTCAGGTCTCCATTTCTTTTTGCAAATTTAAGACTACTGAGGGGCATTTCCAAGATTTTTGAAGCTATCAAGAATGGGTAACCTAAAGTGCTGCCAAAATGATGACTGTGATACAAGTCCTTAGTAAGATTCTGTAAAGAATTAAATACCTAGATGGGTCATGGGAACATCTGTAGTTAAACTATGCATAAATGAAGAAAAGAAATACAAATTATTGTTCTCCTCACAATAGACAAGCAGAATTCAGGCATTTAAAAAAAATTTGTAACGGTCAAGTTATATTTAGCTACATCTTCCTCTTAAAAAGAGAGAAGCAAGGATTGCTAAATTGTAAATTGTCTCTGATGCTTGTGACTTGAAGCTTCACAAATTTTTTTCACATGTTCTCAACATAGCCAGGAATAGAAAAAAAACTTTCAAAACTGTGAAGGAAACTGCCAACAAAAAATAGCCCTTTTCCACCCCCAGAGTCTCTCTCTCCTGAATGGATGAATATTAGGTCTTTGCCTGGCAGTGTCTGTAACTCGAACATTTCAGTTGTGTTGTCAGTAATGGATTTTAAGAGGCTAAAGCTGTTGGGTTTTTTTCTCACAAGAGAGTGAAGTAAATGTCTACTGGGGAAAACTCATTAAACAAATACTTAAAAAGCTTCATCTTTTGTAGTCAAACCTGAAATCCTGTAATTCTTTGTCATGTCTTAAAAAGTGAACAAAAAGTACACCCAAGGTTCTTTATACTCAAATTAGCTAAGCTTCACAAGCAGTCTGTAAGTAATTGAAAATGGATTGATGTAAATAATACTGTTATCTGTTACCTATGGCTGGAGAACAGGGCAACAGTGTATATACATCCATATATTGATGACTCACCTTTCTGCTTCATGTGCTCCATTTTATACATAAGATATCAGAAGCAAGGGAGGGTAAACATCTTTAAAATTATGTAGGAAATTCCTTTCTGAAGTGCAATACCTCAAAATCTCTTGCCCCTCAGGTTCAGCACTGCTGTTCAGTGGTAGAAGCTTGGCTTTAGTTTTCAAATGAAACGCAACAGATGTTGACTGTTCCTATATATTTTCCAATGTAAATGAACATTTTAGACTATATTAGTTTTAAAGCAGAGATAGAAAACTTGCAATTAAAGAAACAATCACCTCAACAAGATACTCTATCCTCAGATTTAAATGAGCTCACATTCTGATTTAACTTTAAGCATATATTTAAGAGCTCAAGCTATAGTAAGTGCAAATAGTCACTACTTGGGAAGATCAAGACTAACATAAGGTTCCTAATGAAATAGGAGTATTTGAGTCAAATCCTGAGATCTGAAGAGTGAAAGAACACAAGTGGTCTGGAACCAGCCCCACAGCTCAACACCAGCAGAAGGAGGTGGCTCGCATGCTTCCCTGTTCCCACTGTTCTCCCTGGCTGACTCCTTATCCAAACCTTCTCCACCATTTCTGGCAGCAGTTAACTCGACCCTTCAGTAAGCCAGTTCCACTCCTAAACCATCAAGAAAACAAACCTAGCAAAAAGTGGAGAGTTTTTTGTTAGACTGGTGATCTGAATCCAGTCTGTGAGGTTCCCCATGGCTGGCAGGGCTAGTGTAAGGCAGGGACTGGGACTACACAGTCATGAACAGCAGCGCGGAGGAGGAAGGGAAAGGAGGAGATGCAAGAATTCCCTTGTTGCTAGCTACAAACTGTCAGCTCAGCCTCTTGTCTAGCTTCACCCTCAGGCTAGATTCAGTGAATACCTCAAGCCAGCATAAGCAATAATCCTTCCCTTTGCCCAGCTGCTACCTTCTGTCCCTATGCTATTCCTTCCCTTGCACCAGCACGAGCATCAGTTCAGGCACTTGATAAACTATCGAGACAGAACAGATCAAGCTGAAAAGCAACTATTTACTTTTTCGGTGTTAATTTAAGCGTAGGTCAGCTTTCTAACATTTTTAGCTTGTTCCCGGAGAAGGGAGGAGGTGCAAAAGGGGAAACTGGAAGAAGTAGCCAGAGAAAGGGGAAGAGTGCACGGAGTCTTTCTGCAGCAGTGCAGGGTTACACCAACTTTAAGTGCTCATTGAGCTGAAGCCTGAGGATCTCCCAGGCCATACCTAACACATGCTTCCCAAGCTGTGCTTCATAGAGCTGGCCCAACCACAGTTGGGCTTTGCCAACTGTCCTCGGAAGCCCTAGAGGAATCAGTGGTACAGACAGCAAGACCGCTACCAGTGCCAGTCCAAGCCGTTTTCACCAAGACCAAAGGAAATACAAAATCATCTCTCCCAAGGAAGGGCATAGACTGCCTCCCTGCTTGTGAAAACCTTTAAAAACACCATCCATCTGTTACAGTGGTAAACTTGTACTGCTGGATTCAAATATAAAGTCTGTTTAATGCAAAACTTCAGTAGGGTCCTGAATTTCAGTATTACTTAAAACACTACCCAGGCTCTGAGTAGTGAATTGGGCTCCAAATTCATCAAGAAGTTTCATGGATTTCCCAGTCCATAGCTGCACCTTCAGCCACATCTAAGTGGTTGGTGTCCACTTTAGAGCAAGAATTTGTTACTGTGGCTTTGGCAAAAGAAAAATGTTGACTCATGCTTTTATGTACTTTGCTGAAGCTTCTGGTTCAGATTAAGCTAAATCCAGTTTAACTAGAAAAGTAATGAAATTCTTTGAGAAACGTATACTTCATAGCCTTTGTCTTTTCCTTAAGACTTCCCTGGAAGTCAGCTTTGCTGGTGCAGGATGATCCCATCAGAATATAAAAGAATGAAGTAAACAAAGAATCATGTCTGATAGAACAATTTACTTCTGTAAACTGTCAACACAAAATTGATCTGTCACATGTGGGTGCAAATCATTCCCATAATATTCTATCATACACTGATAGGGATCTTGACTTAAGCTGATGAGCACTAGGGTCCTTGGTTTGACATCAAGAGAACATTTTAATCTATCTTCTGTGTGATAATGGCTGTGCCTGAAGGTTTCTCTGACAAGGAGTTACACAGAAACTTTCACTTTGCCATCCTCTGCTGCATATGTCATGTTCTCTCCCCTCAAAATTTAACATACAACAGGAATGGGTAAATGAATAAATGCATTATATGTAGGGCCATAACTTGAATCACTTCTATACTGCAGTGAAATATGAGAGTAGTTCTGCAGGCACAACTGAGCAGGCTTTTGCTGCAGGTACCTAGAGCCAAGGACCTCAGGGAGGGCTGCAGTAGAAGCTAGATAAACACAACAGCAGTTTGATGCTTCTGACTCTTCCACTGTCATTGAATCCAGGCTAGATAATTTATCACGAACACTTAATGACTACATAAGCTGAAGTCATTTCTTCGACAGCAGCATAAGCATAGTCATTGTAGATTGAAAGTCTGAATAAAGAAATGAGTTTTTCTTTTTAAGTGATATAAAATTTGGTCTGAGAACTTTCTACCAAAAAACTACCCTACCTTCTAAGAGCTGTCACACAATGGCTGGGTGTCACGTCCCACTCAGACAAGGGGGACGACTCAGATTCTCACATCCCCAATGGAGCGGACAAGTCTCCAAGCATTTATTAACTACCCACAATGTACTAATTGAACACATGATAATTGGCTAAGTATATAGCAAGTTGTGGTAAGTGATACAATATGCCTTGCATTTCTTAATGGAAAAAAGAAAAGAGGGAGATAGAGGGAATGGGGGAATACAGGTCACTGGTCTGGGTTCCTGCGCTGATCCCGCCGGTGAGGGTTCCAGGAGGCAGCTGTCTTTTTTGCTGGCATCTGTCATCTTTGCTTCACTCCAGGCAGGCCAGGCCAGCAGGGGCACCCCTTTCTTCCCCTCCTTGATTTATACCCACTTTCCTTGGGTCCATCCTCTAGGTCAATGCACATACCTACATATCTCATGTATACAGGGAGGGGTAAAGTGTTTCATGGGATGATGTAATTAGCATGATCATGTCAGCCCTCGTTAGCATATTGAGGGGTGTCAACTTTAATATGCATTTTGTGGATAATGAAGCAAAGTTCATTCACCGGACACATGGCCCTTGAAGTTTGCCCAGGTGCCCCAGAACAGAGCCGTCCTGTCTTCACAGGGCTTCCCCCTCCAACTGCACCTTGTGTTATTCAGGCAGCCTTAACAGCTTCGACCTCCACAGAAGGCACCCTGTCACTCATAGTTCTGTCTTGCAAGTGTTTGAGGCATTTCTTCCACCAGCCTCAACTTCTGCTTTCCCAAGCTGTTTTTCTTAGTTTCTCATCTCACACTGAGTCATAAAGCATCACCGTTGAATACAGTTGTCATTCTAGGTAGATAAAGGTAGTAGCTCATGTTCTGTCTACAGTCCTTCAGATACAGGACCACAAGGATGGTGATTCTGAAATAATTCTTGACTTTCACTAGCTCATATGTAAAATTTTGAGTCCTCAGAGCTTAGGAAACAGAGAGAGGAAGCAATAGCATTAACTCCAAGTGTTCTAATTAGTTTAAATCCAATAATTTTTTCTAATAGTTTTTATATTAATAATTTAGATCAGTTTTTGTGAGTAACTTGTCCTGTCACTAAGCAGATGTGCTATTTTCAGTACTTTAATATTTTGTGGCTGAATTATATCAGTGCAAAGTTCCCAGGGGACATAGAGGTACAGAGTTGATTACTCATTTATCCTATATTAGTTCATTTGAAACTTACCCAAACATTTGCAAAGAAGAAAAAAACAGCTAAATTTCAATTCTAACTGTGCCATAACACACCTCTCACATCTCCAGAGCTCTGCTGTGATCCATTTCCCTGTGCATGCTTTTACTTTCTTAGTAGAACTTGCTACCACTAGCAAGATTTTCAGGCTGTTAAAATTGATTAAAGCTAATGACAG